TCCTTCCTTCCTTCCTTCCTTCCTTCCTTCCTTCCTTCCTTCCTTCCTTCCTTCCTCCCTTCCTTCCTCCCTTCCTCCCTCTCTCTCTCTGTCTCTCCCTCTCTTTCTTTTTTCCTACTTTCTTTTTCTTTTTTCCCCTATGAGCAGAAGGGCCACCACAGGCTCTGTGCAGTCATTATTGCAATGACTGATCAAACTTTATATCATTGTCTTTGGCCACACAGGAGGGTAGAAAAGGGATTAAAAGACCAATTTTAGAAGAACAAATTGTCACTGCCTGGAGAGGAAAAGATGACAAACTGTGGTTCACATCCTTGAAGGTGTTCAAACATAGGGAGGCTGAAGGAAGCTCTGCTTAGGGCTCGTGCAATGAGAATGTTGATAAACAGTTTTGCTGGCTGGAATCTCTCAGGGATTGGCCTATTCAGTATTCTGGAATTCTAGTGAGACAAAACCTCGGTAAGGTCCCCTCGTGGAACTCTCCTAGACTGTGTGGGAGAGCGGATGTGTGTTTTGAGCAAGGGCTTGTACAAGGTACCAATTGCTCTCCACCAGATGTATCTTTGTCAAAGCTCTATCTGCTCGTGAATTTGCTGGAATCCATTCCCAGCAGCACCATCTGTTCGCAATTGTCCTACCACCTGACCATTTACCCCTCTCAACCCCCCTCCTCTGGGCACTCCCATTGCCAGTTAGAGGCCACCCATTGTCCAACCTGGATAAACTGGGCCTGAGGAAAGACTGGACAGCAGAGGGGGCGGAAGAGGAGGAAGATCTTCCAAACTTTTGGCATTTAGAGCCAACATGTGCCTGGGGATGCCCCACCAAGCCTTCACACAGAGCCTGAGGAGAGAGTGTGTGGCTGAACCAGAGCCATACTGTGCCCCAGGCAGCCTGATGGCTCCACGAATAATATTGACGCCTTTTGTTTGGAAACTCATTGTGGAGGCTTCCCATTTCACCACCAGGCACGCTACATGCTGTGCCTGCCCCAAGCCACTTGGCCTTTTGCGCAGTCCCGTGGCCAACTGTGCAGGCAGATGAGGGGCCCTGAATGCTAACGAAGGGAACAGCTGGCATTTCTGAGGCACCCGGCTCTGGTAACCGGCCTTTGTTGCTAAGGAGTGTTGGAACTGTAGCCAAAAGGCTCTAACAACGGCGGGGGGGCGGGGCGGGGAGTGAGGAGAGGGAGAGAAGAAAGGCGAGGGTTTGTTTTCAGAGCTTCACAGTTCTCTGGCCAGCTCCAAATCTGTACAATTTCTGATCCCAATTAGAATATCAAACCCTGTTATTGTTTCTTTTAATGATCTTGAGAAATTCCTCTGAAGAGTCAGGGAGCACATAGCAAACTCTTTGGACAGTGCCTTCTGCACAGTTGTGCTTCTGCTTGTGTGACCGTGCCACACCGAGAGTCCTGAAAACAGCCTTTATTCCCGTCCCCAGAAGGCGGTGATGAAGCTGGGAGAAGTGGAAGTGGGACAAAAACTGCTAGGGTTCTAAACGTGCATGTGGGGGCTCCAATCAACAGAAGGTTTCCAGGTGCCCACTGGGCAGTGAATCTGGGCTCTGTGCTGAGGACGAAGATGGGGAAGCCATTGGTCCTGGCTTGGAGTGATGGCCAGACCTGCTTGGGAAACAGATCACACGCCCTAAAGAGAATCCTGTGGGGTTTTGCTCTGACTGTGACTGCAGGGCACTCTTGAACTTGAAGCTGAGCACTGGATTCTAATGCTGGCTCAGTCCCTCACTAGCTGTAAGGCCTCAGGCAGTACTTTTGCCAACCTGAGCCTCAGTTTCTCATCTGTGCAATGGCGTAGTAATGTCAACCTAGTTGGGTTACTGCGAGGAGAAAGTGCAGGTGAGAGAATGAAGAACAGGAATGTGGAGGACATGACCTCTGCCCTCCAGGACCACACCATCAGTGAGCCAGCTGTTGGCTTGGAAGTTGTCTGTACCTGGAAAAGTCCCTTAGTGATTTCGCCCATTGAATGAGGTACACCAAAACCCTGCATAAGAATAAAGTAGTAAGCCAGTTTCCCCTTATGGAGCATGTCTATGTGCCAGGTGTAGTGCTAGGCAATTTGCAAGCATTATCTCCTTTAATATGAATGACTTTATGGGGGAGGTAGTGAATTGCTCAGGGTCACACATCTGGGAAAGTGTCTGCCCAGCTGGTGAGATCCAACCTCTGTCATGTTTTAAGTGCTCTTTCCTTCTTTAGAGGCTGAGGCTTTAGACATTTGGGGCAGACACAGTGGATCAATTCTCCCCAGGTCATACCGGAGGTTAACCAGTCCCTGCACACAGACACCCCTTTAGAAAGGTTCTAATAGAGAAAGCTGGTCAAGACTTTGGACACCAAACTTTCTCTGCCCAGTGTTTATTAGAATTCCACAATGACACAGCCACAAGGAATATGCAAAACATCACTGATATGAGAAAAAAGAGAGAGAAAGGTAACAGATTTTCCATAAGCAAACCATGGAGAAGTCCTATCCTAGAGAACATAACAATATTTTGAAGCATAATGACCTCATAGCATTTTCCTGCTTGTGTCCAGCGGTTTTCCTCACAGCCAGACATCATTTAATCTCTACTGTCACATTGTCACCTTGATATCTAAGCTTGTCTCTATGACTTAAGTTGAATTCTTGTTCTTTTAATGTTTACTCAGAGAAAAACTGAGTATTTACTTCTACAGTGTGCAAGTACTGCAAACGAACACACATACACACACACACCTTGGGATGAAGCAGTAGAGAATTCCAGACAGGACATGATCCAAGAGCAATAGTCACTTGGCTCCAGAAGGCAGATGTATCTCAAAATTTGTTTTTGCTGAAGCAATAGCCTTGCTTCCCTATGCCACACCACACAGACCATGTTCAAGCTTCCCAACACTCAGCAACAAAGGAAGGGACGTAAGAAAGGTGCATCTCTGCGTGCAAGGAAGGAATTGTCCACACAGCATGGCGTTCAGTGTTTGTAACACTCCTCTGAAAAGGTACGATTACTCCTGACTTACAGATGAAGTAACTGAGGCTCAGGGAGATTAAACAACTTGCCAAGGCTACTACCTGCTAAGCACTAGAGCTGGGATATGCTGGTTTCAATGCCTATTCTTTCTCTAGTCTCTGTTGAAGTGTGGGTGTGGTGGGTGTGGGTGGATCTGGCCATGGCTGCCCCACTTGTAGAAGCATTCGCTCTGCCCACAATACAGGAGGAAGGGTGTGCACAGCCTGTAGTCACAGAGCTGTGAGGGCTCCTTTCATGCTGAATTCCATGTCACTGGGGTCCCTCCAGTGTGTGACTAGTGGATGCTGAGGCTATCATCTATCAGGAGCTATCCTAGATGCTGGACATAAAGAATTGGGAAGGTGAAGTCATCGCCCTCAGGACCTTATGATGTAGTCTGATAACCTTAGTTTCATGTTTAGGGTCTCCTTTCACCCCAACTCCCTCCGTTCCACCTCCCCACAGAAATGGAGGGTACACTAGGGCATTCTTAGCATCCTGTGATCAGAGCTTCCAGAAGGCCCTACCCCTCTGGCGATTTATCAACAGGCACAACCCAACAGCTTTTTTACCCTTCACTTCTCTGAGCCTCGGTTTCCTCATCTGTGAAATGAAGCTGTGAAACCTGTCTTATTGAATCGTCAGAGTTGGATGAAACAAAACATGTCAAGTTCCCAGCACACAGCAGTTGCCAGTGCATACTGAATTGTTTGATCCAACATTCTAATTTTCCTCATTTGGTGTTGTGACAACATGAAAAAGTCATGTTTGTTTGCTTACTTCTCTGACTTAAAAGGCAGCTAGCAGGTCTAAGGGTTCTAGAATGTTAGGGAGGTGGTCAGTCTGCCTCAAGAGGCATTTTTCTAGGCAACTCAAGAATTATTAAAACTAAAGCAGGTCAGACTAGAAGGCCCTCAGAGATCAAATTTTAGTGGATCCAAATTACTTTGTTCTTAGCTTTTGTCCATAAGATTTTATGAGATACTCCACTATATAAAACTGATAAGAGGGGGTGCTCAGAGGCCTTTCTGTTTGCTGTTTCCCTTGACCTAACTCCTTTATCCTGTCTCCCACACAGACTTGAAAATCAGGATCCAGGAAGGTCCTGGGAACACACTGGTCTCTGAAGCGCTGGGCCAGTGTTCCTTCAATGAGCTCATGCTCCCTGTGTGGAGTGATATGCGTGCAAGTGTGCACTGCATGGGAGGGGCAAGGCTGGGGGATGTTCAGGACACAAGAACTATGGGGAGTTGTGGGAAGTTTTCCTGATTTTCCCGCCAGAGGGAGCAAAGAAGACGTGACCTACTTCCAGAATCCTTTGTCCTAGGAGTCCCTCCTCAAAACTTCTATCGAGTCCTCTGGGAAAATATGCCTGAGACAGTGTAACGTCCGCTGGTTTTGTACTAGAGAAAATATTGGACTTGTTCAGAAAACCTTCCTTGGAATTCTGCTTCTACTGCTTAGTAAAGATAATACATTGTTAATGCTTTTTATTTTTCTTATAATATGGAAATCCTCCCTAGAATAGTGAGTGGAGGAAGGGTGGACTTACTTATTCAAAAACGATGTATTTAGGTCTACTGTATGACAGGCATTTTTAGGAGCTGACAACATCTAGCATGTTTTTTTTTACCATATGGAATTGCTGGGTTTGCAAAGAACACAGTTTGATCAGCAATATAGAAAAAAACTATGTAATATTAATAACAAGCTTTATTAGAATAGAAGGGGATTTTAAGTAATTGGGTTCTTGCCACCTTAGCAGAGACAACCTAGTTTTCTCTGATCACTTTGAGCTGCGATAGCCAGAAATCAAGTCCAAGTCCACGCATCTACACTAGCTGCCTGGGCCTCCACCCTGACGGTGCCTGCACCATGATACTCAGCTGGGGACAAACACGAGTCTGAGTGAAAAGGGAGAGCAAGGACACATTTGTTCTCACAAATATATTGTTCTCACAATATAGGCCTGTTGTCACAGCTCCTTTAAGTACTGAAGCGCTGGCTCCAGGAGCATAGTTCCTCCAGAACAGAATCTCCGCAAGGCCTGGTCAATCTTCCGAGGGCTCAGGGACAGGTTGTAAATGAGGTTGTAGTTGTGAATGAGGCGTCTGGCTCGGTCCTTCTCCAGGACCCCTGTGATTGGGTAGGGTAGGGGGAGGTTTTTAAAACAGAACAGAGAAAACAAAAAAGAGAAAAAATGTATTAGCTTGAATGACTTTGGAGTAAACATAAAATTCTAACTTTTGAAACTTTAAGTTTTTAAAAATCAAGTGATACCCTAAAGAGATGACTAAAGTCCTGGACATGCAGTGTAGACATCAGGAGGGAGTCGAGAGTGATTTTGGGGAGGGGAGATGAGGTCCAATAAAATCCATGGACAGATTCTAAAGCAATTTAAACACGTTTGTTGTAGCCACAAAGCTTTTAAGGCCAAGTTTGAAAACAGATGGGGTGCCTGCTAAAAACAATTCCTAATTGTTTGGCTTATTTTTATCTTATTAAGTATTTGAACGACGTTCCTAAACATGCAGGATTTAAGAAGCTAATTTTTACGCATTTCTGCTGTGCATCTACTGTGTCTACTGTGACTCCCTCCAGCTTGCTGTGTGATAACTTCTTGTGGCTCAGAGTCTAAGTCTGTGTAGTAGAGATGGCGGTGCTCATTGTCACAGGATGTGCTCTGGTACCCACAAGTCATCTACACCAACACCAGCGCCAATATGCTTTCCACATTAGGGTTGGGTACGTTTGATAGCTGCAGAGAGGAGTTTAAGTATAGAACACAGCATCAGCAAAGATCAATAATTCATTCATAAGCACCTAATTGTGAGCTTATGTATGTCAGAACTGTGCTTGGGCACATGGAGGATTTAGAGAAGTGGTCTGTTTTACCTCAGGAAGCTCCCGGACCGGTTGGGGCAATAAGATATTCAGAAAATTAACTAGAGTGCAACAGCAATAACAATAATGATTGATACTTTTATTTAGAATTTACCATGTTTCAGGTACCCATGCAAGCATTTTACCAATATCAGCTCATTTAATCCTCACAACAGAGTTTGAAACTGAGGAACAGAGGTTGTGAGTCAGTTGCCCAAGGCTGCTCAAGCCCATGCATTAAATCACTACACTAAATTATAGAATGAGGGGAAGAGTTTGTTTAAGGCTCATATTATTTTCTAGATATGTTCCTTGAGTTGGGAAGAGCTACCCTACAGCTGTCAATGAAAGGCTTTTAAATATCTTTTATGTGAGTGAAAGATACATGCTCTTCTACTCTCTTGTACTTGTGCAGACCGTAATAATGATTCTAAAATTCTTTCTCAAAGAATCCAGAGGCAGTCCCCTGGTCATTTTGTAGAAAGCCACTAAAAGGTCATTAGAGTTAGGGTTTAGTGGGTACTTGTTATGTCTGTTTAAGCTACCAAGTTCTGGTTGTATTTAAATGTGCAAGGACTGTTGAGCATGATGCCTCTCTCTGAAGTACTCTCTAATGGGTTTTCTTAACAGTGGGGTCCTAATATGATTTATTCCCTTCGGTTATGTTCTGCCCCATCCCATCCCATGCTTCCAATCCCATCCCAACTCATCCCTCCTATCCCTTCCATCCCTCCCATCCCATCCTTACCATCCAATCCCATCCCATCCCTCCCACCTCATCCCTTCCATCCCTCCCACCTCATCCCTTCCATCCCACCCATTCCAGTTTGCTTACTGTCTACTCTATTCAGGTTTGTTCATTGTCTACCTCTCCTATTAGAATGTTGGTCCTTTCCTCCACAGAAATCTTCCTTTGAGTTGGCCAACTGCATCTTTGCAGTTCTCTGAATTGGGTGGCTGCTCTTGATCTGGCCTAGGTTGGATCCCTCCAGACATTTCCTCATACTCTGCTTCTGAAAATATAAGTCATGGGCTTTGGAGTAAGTGTTTGACTGGGAAAAGTACTTTAACTTTTTAAGCCTCAGTTTCCTCAACTTTAAAATGGGGATAATTAAATTGCATGAAAACCAATAAAATAATAAGTGTTTAGCACAGTGTCCAGAACTGGTAAGCACTCATCCATGCAGGTATTTTTATAGGATAATTATAACAGTTATATTATCAACATTATTTAACATATATAAGACTGTATTTTAATAATAATAAATTACTAAAATAAATATCATTTATTTTAATTTAAAATTAAAAGTAATGTTAAAAAATACATGTAAGAATAACCACTGGTGTATTTGTGTGGGGGTATTTTCTACTGTCTTCTAAGCTTTACCATTGTAGGAGATTCCTAGTGTCAAACTAAAGTCCATTGACTGAAATTTGTATCTGCCTAATTTACTGCCATTAGGGGATGCCCAGGACAGCTGCATAAAATAACCCTTACAATCCATCGTAGTGTTGGAAAGCCTGTCCTTCTCCCACCAGAACCAAAATGAAAGAAACAACAAAAAAAGCCTCTTTAACATCCACTTCATTTTACAGTTTACAAGGAATTTTCAAATCTTATTTGACCCTTTCTCAAATCTGGGAGGTGTTTTAATGGTAACAGTCCTATTTTATAGATGAGGAAACAGGCTCAGAGAATATAAGTGACTGGCTCTCAGGACTTAGCAATTGGTGAAGTCTAGACCTGAACCTACGTCTTCTGGTAAAAATAAACAAGGAAACAAACCAACAAGGAAAACCTCATGCTCTTCCTGGTATGCTGTGGGAGTCTGAGATAGCGGGAAGTGCAATAATTCAATAGGGTTTGAATTATGGCTCAACTTCCCACTGGCTTTTATTTGATCACTTTGAGTTTGGCTTTCTCCTCTGTAAACAAGGACACTAATCCCTTCAGCATGTGGTTGATGTGAGGAGTCAGCGATGCAGAATATGGAAAGTCCAGACCAATGCAGAGAACGTCTTTGAGGGCTCTCATTGCATTCTGCCTCTTTGAACTCTAAAATATTTTCTATCTAGCCTTTAGTTCACTGGGAAAATTCCAAATCTACCATTCAGCCAAACATGTATCCCAAGCACTCTTTCTTTAGAAAACATGATCAGTTATTTACAGTCATTCCTTATTCCTTCTCCTCAACGATATTTTCTTGACAACCCCCATTAGAGAATAAGCACAGAGTAGGTTCCCAGAAATGCTAATTTGATGATGAATGGTCTGCCTTCAGCCTGGATAAAGAACACGCTGGCCTGAATATTTCCTTGCACAAAATAAAGAACAGTGATTCATCAGTGAGCACAGTAGGTATCATCCGCTCAGTGTCTACAACAGAGTCATGGTGGTCTGCTAAATACTGTGGTTAGTAAACCAACAAAATGTATGAAACATTTAATCCTCAGTTAATCCTCTTTCCTCATTAAAGATAGTTGTAGATGTTCCCAGATCTCGCTGACACATTCCTTGGCTGTTGAGGAATTAACAAATTTCATAGAAACAGAGAAAACAGGCATAAATAGCGAAAAGGCCATGAGAAAGGCATTTCAAATCTGCTAGAATCTGCCTCCAAAGCTAACAAAACTCCATTTTTGCTTACAACAGTTCAGAAGTATGAGAGAGGTCCCAGTCTCTGGGGAGTCTCTTAGCAACTAAGTTTATGATCCATCATCCATCATCGCAAGTTAGCATTTGTTTCTTTGAAATTGTCTTTTCTCTCCACTCAGCTTTTTGTTGTGTTTCATTTCATTTTTGTTTGTAACACCATCATCACCCTCATAGCCCTGGTATTAATACCTAGACTCACGATTATTTCAGTAATCCTTTGATCTCCTTTTTTCTGGTATCTTCCCTAAATTATCCATCTCAGCTTTCATTGTGTTCTCCTCTGGCTGAGCCTTTGGCAGACCCTGGGTAGAGAATTAGGGCCCTATCCCTCAGGATTCACAGAGGGTCTCTACTTCACTGTCCAATCCAACATGAACTCCAGTCCTGTCTTGTTCATTCTCTTCCCCATCACACTCATTTCCATCCTCTAACATTTGCAGAAGATGGTTTCAAACTTGGAATTCCCAACCCAACTATCCAAAGTCCACCTCTTCTCATAGCTCAGCTCCAGCTTTCTCTTCCAGGGAGCCCTCTCCTAAGTAGCCAGCTCACACAAGATGATGAGCTTCTTTTCATCTCTTCTCTCTTTCATTTGGACTCTTTAACTCTCATTTGTATCTTCAATTATAATACTTTACTACATGCTGTTTTTAAAAAAAAACTTTCACTGGCATTGAATTATTGCCAGGCTCTGTGTCTTACCTAAAATCTCCCTGGGGTCAGAGACCACATTCGTCCTTTCTGGTTTCCATCCTGGTCCAGCCTCTAGCACAGTGCTGGGCTCATAACAAATGTTTAATAAATGGTTTTCTAATTCAGCTAGATGAATTGTTCATTTAAAATTTTTATATTCCCCTCTCTTTGGTATAATTATTAGAAGACCATGGGTATTGTAAGGTAGTTATACTTCATGTGGTCTAAAATCAAGTTGCTTTGGAAATTGAAAACAAAATGAAACAACAACAAAAACACACAGAGAGAATGAAAAGACAAGCATTGCTATTGTTATATGATTACTCCTAGAGTGTACTAATGTGTACACTAACTCCTTTTTAAATGATACATACTTGACAAACAACACAGTGTAAGTTTAAGGCATACAATGTGATGATTTGATACATGTATATATTGTAAAACTTCTACCATAATAAGGTTAGTTAACACATCCTTTACCTCACATAATTACCATTTTGTTGTTGTTGTTATGGTGAGAACATTAAAGCTCTACTCTCACAATAACTTTCAAGTACACAATACACTGCTGTACATTAGATCCTTGGAATTTTTCATCTGATAACTGAAAGTTTGTACCCTTTAAACAACATCTCCTCATTTCCCCTGGAAACCACCATTCTACTCTCTATTTCTACAAGTTCCATGTTTTCAGATCCACGTACGATACACTAACCCTTCATGAACCACAGTGTGTATTAAGTACAACAATTTCCACCCTTGTGCTTTTGTATCTGCTCCTCTTCTCCATTCTGCGGGTCTCTGACCTGGTTCTGGATTTCATTCTCTCTCACTTGGACATTGCAATAACCTCCTTCCTCCTTTTCCTGCTTTCAATTTCTCCTTCATTCTGCACAGAGGCACCAAGGATCTTTCTGAAGTACAACTTGACCATACCACTCTGCTGCTTAGAAATCTTCAGTACTACTCATTGTCTTTGAATGAAATCTTAATCCCCTGGTCTGGCATCTAAGATCTTCCTAGATCTGGTCCCATCTTTCATCCTTTGACATTCTTCTTAATAGTCCTTACATTTTATCCAAACCAAACTCTTTGTATTGAGCTTCACACACAACACTTTGCTTGGCTAACCTGCACCTTTGCCAGAAAGGGCCCTCTATTTCATTCCTTTGTATACAAACTGCCCTTGATTTCTAATGATCAATCCCACATTACCATAGACTTCCTGATCACTTCATGGGAAGGAATCTCCTTTCTCTGAATGCCCATGTAGCACACACTAACAGCATTTATCACCTCCCAGCTTGGATTTAGTTATTTACGGACATTTATTTATTTATTTATTTATTGCCTCAAAAAAGTGTTGAACAGAATTATGCAAGATATATGGGATAAAAAGGGAATATAGTCTACTGGTGAGATAGTAACAAGCCCCCAAATAAAAAAATACAATATATCAAATATGATACTGGATATTGAAGAACTCTAAGAGGCCAGATAAAGCTTGGCATAGATCTGTCTGGGGAGTCTCAGAAGAGTAAAGATTGAGTTCCAACATAAAAGATATTTAGGTATTAATTAGTTGGACAAGATGGGGAGTCGGCAGAGGGTGGGGTAGTTAGAGGAGAGGCAGACAGCTCAAATGGAGGGCGTAGCCACAGGAGAAATCGCATTTGAGCAAGGCACGTTGTTCACTATGATGGGGTAGGATATGCAGAGAGAATGGCAACTGAAGGAAAAGAGACTAGTTAGGCGTACAGGGACCAGATTTTGCCTTGCCAAGAAGTTTGGAGTTCAGCCTTTTAGCAGCCATGCTGAAAATGTCAATCAGGGGAATCGCAAGATTGGACTATGGGTTAGACTCAGGTGGTGGAGTGGAGGAAGGGTGGGATACACAAAGAAACTGTAAGCAACCTGGTGGGGGAAACACATCTGAATCATCTTTGTATTTCCTGATTGTGCTCAGCACAGTGCCAGGCACGTGGTTTACATACAAATTGTATTTGTTAAGAAGTGAAAGAAAATGAGGTGTCTACTTTCCAATTAGAACACAAACAGAAAGTCCATTAGCTTTAAGTGTCACACTTCACCTGCATTACTCAGATCACACAGGTAGAGGGCATTTTCTAGCTTCCTGAATCTGTGAATCCATGTCTCCCATTCTTCAGACTCGTTCTTCATCACTGGACTCACGGAAGGCTGTGAGACTGGCCTGATCTTCAAAGAGCTCAGGGGATCTTTGGGGGCTGAAGTCTCAGCAGGAGGGTTTTCTGGCTGCAGATCCTCTTCTGGAGTTTTCTACCAAAACAACACAAGCATCTTACTGGCAAAATGTTCACCACCTAGATCTTCTCCAGTCTCCTGGCCCAAGATGAAGCCATACAAATAGCAAGACTTTTTGCAAGATTTGGCTTTGTAAAGCTGGGAGGATGAGTTTCAAGTCCTCAGTGCCACAGGACTGTATCTGCCAAGTCTTACTGGACATAAACTACTATGTTGAATGGTTTCTATTTTTTTAAGAGAAGGGTGAAATCATGACTTTAATTAGTTTGCATTTCTGATTTTCACAAAGAAAAGGTTTCTGTAACTGGCTGAGACTTTTCATAATGTTCTACTCTATTTGTACTAGTGGGATCCACAGGGGATGGCCTTCAGGAAATGCTTATAACTTCTTGACGGGACAACCTCTGGATCATGAGCATGAGGTTCTTGAAAAAGAGTGATTAAAAGAATAATGATACTGTCTTAGGCTCGTGGGCTCATTATAATGGACCATAAAGCAACTCTAGTTCTGTCCGTCCTGTTCATCTAACTATGGAAGCTGAAGCCTGCAGCGTGGAAGTGATTTACTAAGATGATGCAGTGAGTGGCAGACACAAAACTGGGAGGAGGTGTAGAGTTTATGTCTAGATCAGCTGGGTATCCCAACCTCATGTCTAATTCAAATTAGAGATATTTTTAGGATAAATAGACAACCAAGTTCTGGCAGCCATGTAAGGCATTCTATCACCTGCCATGTAGAGAGTGGGCATCTATTGTTTGATCTGCACAACCTCACTTTCCAGGAATTATCCCTCCTGCCAATCCATAAGGTTGTTGACAGAACAGCCGTGCCTAAGTGTACAGTGCAGGACTGGGCACCTGGTGCAACTGGACCAATACCCCTGTTGTCTAGATATTTGGGACTATTTGTGAGAGATGAAGACAGAGAGACATACACACAGAGATCATTTTGTGTGAGAGGTAGGAACTTAAGCAGGTTTTCCACACTCTGTACTGGAAATGAGAAAAAGCTGGTCTGTCCAGAAAGAGAGAGAGAGAGACAAAGAGAGAGAGAGGACAGGAAGCTGATAGCAGAGAAAAGAGGAATGATATAGGAAGTCATGGTGAAGTTCAAGTCCCTGATTTTAGTTCACTGTTACATGTCACATTCCTACCCTTAGGTAGCATAACATGCTACTCCATCCTTCCAATAAATTAAGTCAGTAGAGTTTGTTCTCTTAATTGCAATCCAAATAATCTTAACTAATTCACCATGGAATTATGCCTCTTTTGAATACCATCTGTGCTTCCCCCAACTTTCAAATACCTGAATTTCTTCAGTTTTGTACCTTTGCCTCAAACTTCTCACATATAAACTGTGAAGATCCTATAGCTCTAAAGAATAGTAACTGTAATCAGAAGCCGTTTTCAGTTTGTTAATAAACATGGATTAAGCTGCTACTGGGAAATACGAAGAATTGTTTTATTTGAAATAATAGAATGCTACATTAAATTGTACCCATATGGATGAACAGCAACCAGTAAATTTTAAGAGATTAATATAAAAGAATTCTATTTTGACAAAATTAATTTTGGGAAAAGCTGAAAGTTTTCATAAAGTAAATAGAGTAGTGATTCTCATTCTTTTTAGAGCTTTGGATCAATTTAGAAATCCGATGAAAGCTTTAGATAATCTACCCAGGCAAACACATATTTACATGCAGGATGATTGTCGCGAGTTCAAAGAGGTCCTTGGATCTGAGACACTGATTTTAATAATTTTATATTTCTTCAGATATATCAACACTCTCTTTGACCACTAAAGGCAGGGAAAGGGGGAATTTGTATGAACCTGAATTAGGCTGAACTAAGTAGGTGAGTAAGAAAGCAAGTAACTAACTAACACATCGTGTACTGTTTTGGTCCCATTGTGTCAGGAAGAAGTCCGCATTTCTTGATTGGTACATAACACCATTCAAGTTCTTGTTCTTGTTTATCTGCTTTCAATCCTACGTATACATCTGTTTCTCCAGCCACACAAAACCAGAAAACACGAGGCTGTTTTGTGCCTTGTACATACCACTCCCTCTGTTGTAAAAGCCCTTCTTGCCACTTATCCTTGGATGATTGGGCTCCTAATCATCCTTCTAGACCCAACTCCTATTTCACTTCTTGCACGAAGCCTTCCCCAACAGCCAAGGTGAGCGGCGATTCTTTGAGGACCCTTTATCCATCTCAGCACTTATTATGGAATGCTGTAATTGTTTATTATAATATCTCTCTCCTCTACCAGAAATCTGGAGACTGGCCTGTGAGATAGTCATTTATGTATCCTCAAGGTCTGGTTAGTGGCTGGCACATAGTTGGTTCTCAAGACGCATTTACTGAATGAATAAGTGAATGAATGAATGATTTTCTCTGGGAAAATAGGAAAGTTGCTTTACGAAACCTCTGCTTCAATTCCTTTTTCTAAAAAGTGGAACAATGAATGCTGCTTATATAGGAATGTGAGAAAAATCAGTTATTGCAGAGATGCTGTAAAATCCTCAAATAGGAGGCAAAATAAAAGAACAAAGTGTACTTTTTATAATCTTATTCACAACAGACAACACTCAAGGAGAAAAGCATTTGCTGTTGTTTCTTGCATGGCAAAAGGCTTGCCAAAATGGATACTATTTTCTAAAATATTTCAAAGTGTGAAGTGCATGAAGAGGCCTCCCGTCATTTTAAGATGAATTATGTTCTAATTCGGGCATTTAAAAAACAACAACAACAGAAAAACTCAGGCTGCTTTTCAACTCTGTCTGCATCTTTTTCTGGCTAAGTGCTGGGAATATTAAAACAGAATTTAACTGCTTGCCAGATTTTTTTTTTAACTCAAAGAGCCCATTACATTTTAAAATGTGATGTCTGGGAAAAAGGTCACCCTCAGTTTCTGGAAGCTGAATTTAAGATATTAAAATAGGTCTCAGAACCACCCTTTATTTTGACGGCAGTGGGAGGATTGGTCACAGGTTTTGGAAAGACACCAGTGCACATGCTACGATTTCTTGGGGCAGGTGCAACCCCCATTACCAGGTGGTGGCAAGAGGTTTCTGCAGGCATACCAGCTAGGACAGGAACCAGCCTACAATTCAGGGGTTTTCTGCCTCCCTTCTCCATCAGAGAAGACTCTGGAAGTCAAAGATAGTCTGACATCAAGGCAGTGGGTGGAAATCACAAACCCAGGATAGAGGACCCCACCCAGCATCAGAGAATAGAAGGCAAAGGATGGGTGAAGCTCTTCCCCAAGCTCCATATACCCAGGTGCATACCACGTGCTCAGTTGTGCCTTGAGACCTCTCAGGAATGTCAGGTTGCACTGGAGTGGCAGAGGTTTCCTTTCCTTTCTCTCCTGGAAAAGAAAGAAAAAGTGGAAGGGTTTAGTGTGGTCTCTTCATTGTAACACATACATCCAGGCACAGAAAATGTTGAGGCTCTGCTGTGTAGCTGGCACTGTGTTAGGCAATGGGGATACACTAGTGGATAAGAACGACCTCGTTCCTGCCCTGTTGGACCTCACAAAGGGGAGGTGGATGCTAAACAATTACTCGAAATGATTCTTTAATCACAAACTACCATAAACACAACAAAAGAAGATGTGAAAATATTTAAACTTGTTTTGGGGTGGGGGTGGGAGTGATGGAGGATCAGAGAAGGTTTCTTGGAGGAAGTGACACAAACTGTGGACCTGAAGGACGAATAGGAACTTCCAGGCAAAGGTGATGGTGGGCGTGCACAAGGAGCAGCGAGTTCCAGATAAGCAGAGACAAGAGCCTGTAGAACTGCCCTGAATCAGGAGGGCTTGTACAGTCTGGGGAGTGGGAAGAGGCCTCTTCCCGTCGTCCTACCTCTTAACAGAAAAGCAGGCACTTCTGTGCCCTCTCTCCACACAGGTACGTGCCTGAAAGATCAGGCAAAACCTCCCTCTTCTGCCTTCCTGCTCCTTTCAGTGGTCAGAGGTTCTCTACGGGAAAAGGCCTGAACAGTATCCCTAACCCAGGGATTCTGCTGCCCAGGTCCTACTTGATCAGGCTGCTATCTTCACAAATAGAAGAAATTTCCTTAGGATGCAAGAAAAAGACACAAAGACTTTCTGCTGAAATCCTCTAAGGCTTATCGTGGGCATCATCCATTCAGCACTCAGGACCTTCATCAGGCTCGGTGACTTCATTTTACAAATGCGTGTGACAACCACACAGCACAGATTTCTGTGAGCTTCAGCTTCAATATTCAGCGAATAATTCAAATATGCCATTAACAAATACATATTGTTTATGAGTAGGGTCTCACTGTTTTCAATAAAAATGGTTCAATCAATAAATTTTAAACCAAAGATAGAGGCAGCAGTGAGACTGTGGTAGAGAGTCCTGGCTCCTGTCTCTATAAGCTGCACGACCTTGGGCAACTTACCTGTCCTCTTTGTGTCTCAGTCTCCACTTCTGTAAAATGGAGGTGATGCCACCTATAGGTTATTGGGAGGACTAAATGGACTAGCATATGTGAAGCAAATACCCAGACCACAGCAAGTGCTCAATAAATGTTCACTACTACTGTTATCTATGTAACGACGCTTCTGTAAACAAATTTGCATATCAAAGTAAAAAAGCCTTTTGTTAGACTTTTAACATTGCACCTATGAATCATTATGAAGCTTTTCCCTCAGTTTCTTGATGGAGAAAACAATGTGATTTCCTAATCTTCTCTGAAGCCCCAGCCCCAGCATTAGAGTAAGTACTCAATGCATGCTTGTTGACTGAAGGAATGACCACGTGCCCTAATTTGGAGTACGGAAAATAAAGTCACTGACCATATAGTTCTGTTTCTCCAATTTCTTTTCAGCCCCTTGGAGACGAGAGATTTTTCTCCGCATTTCTCTATCTTCCCATACCTAACCCAGATGCTTTATAGATTAAAACTTAATAGATGCTTAATGACGATCATGATGGCAGCCGGTTAGGGCAGCCCCTCTGAGGCAGATTTGATTTAATCTACTGAAAATTTAAGTTGTCATGGGAACCAATCATCACCCAGTAGCATCGGCCCCTGCTTATTTCACTCAGTATGTGAAGGAAAAGCTTTCTGTTTACTGCAGGCGAAAAAGGCTCAAATTACTCTGAGTCATAGAGTTTGAGAGTTAAGCGGATTCTAGAAACAGTATATAGCATAAAGGCAGGAAGATGAACTTTGGTGTCAGACCTGAATGTTAATCCTGAGTCTTCCCTTTCCAGCTGCAAGCTTTCAGATCCTAATTCTGGCAGTTGTGAAAGGGGAGAAAACCAGCGATTTACTGTAATGTTGTAGAGATAAAACAATTACCTACATAAAATACTTAACACAGGGAAGATGCTCAATACAAGGATTCGTTGGTCGTTGTGTTATTACTATTATATGACCTTAAGCAAATCTAGTTTGCTTAACTACGATGGGCCAGGTATTTTTCTGGGTCCTGTTCACATGCATTAGTATGAGATCTAGAGCCTAGACCTTGTCCTGGGCCAGTTTCTCTGCACTTTTAAAAGTTTCTTTCAGAGAAAATACATGCTGGTCTCCTTTAAGCTTCCCTTTCTCCCTCCTAATATCCACAAGCATAGAAAAAGGTAATGGTTTGCACATGTAAAACTCATCTGAGAAATCCGAAGCAGAGCTGATTTTTTTTCTGTCTAACACAGCGGGAAGGATAAATAATAACCATCTGTCTAGTCTGCCAGTTGAAGGTTTGTACTGGAGGAAATGAGCCAAGCTGGCTTCTAGAGATTTCCAGGTGTTGGAAGGGCCAGGTTTTACAAGGCTTCCAGTGGGTCTGATGGTTACACAGCCAGCCCTGCCATCCGTCCCACTAATGACTGGAAATTAGTGGTCTTCAGCACTGGCTGCATATTAGACCCACCTGGGGAGCTTTAAAAATTGCCAATGCTTAGGCGTCACACCAGGCCAATTAAATCAGAACCTCTGGGGGTGAGAGCCGAGCTCAGTGCTTCTAAAGAATTCCCTAGGTAATTCTAAAATGAAGCCAGGGTTGATAATAACTGATTTAAATAAAGGCTTCTAGCCTCACTGGACCCACTGAATGAAGCTTTGTGAGAAGGAAAGTAATATATATAAAATATCTATACATTCCAGACATTTCCCACACATTTTCTTACTAAATCTAAAGAATAACCCTGTGAGGCAGAAAGTATCTCCATTTGACAGATGAGGAAACTGAGGCAATAAGGTTTCAGTTCCCCACTTAAGACAGCAGAGGTGGGGTTAGGTCTGGGATTCTAATTCATTCATTCAACGAACATTTGTTAAGTGCTTACTATATGCTAGGCACTGTTTTAGGCACCACGATACAACAATGAGCAAGAGAATCTACTCATGGAGCATGCATTCCAGTGGTGAGGGCAAACAAAGAGAGACATAAAATAATGTGAAATAGTGATAAATGCTATAAACACAACCGAAGCCAATTATGAGGATAGAAAGAAATGCAGTTGTATTTTCGATAGGCAATTCAGCAAAGGCCTCTCTGAAGTAACATTTAAATAGAGCCATGAGTGGAGAAACAAGGGAGAAAGCCATGCAAACATCTGGGGAAAGAGCATTCCAGGAAAAAGCTATGGCGAGAGCAAAGGCCTTGAGGGAGGGGTGTTTGGTGCATTCAAGCAACAGCTGAGAAGAGAGCCAAGCTGACGCAGGATGAAAAGGGAAGACCACTGGGTCAGGTGTTCCCGGAGCTAAAGGGCCTCATGGGCCATGCCATGTGATTTGAGCAGAATTTTTTTTTTGGCTTCCAGCATTCGTTCCTTCTCTGGTGATTACCCACTTCTAGTGACAGCAACTGTATTTTGCTTTGTGGGGACCACTCCTCCCCCATCCCAGTGCTGTGGTTTGGCAGGACTGACCCCCATTTTCAGCTTCAAGCTTGGTCTCTGATTAGTTGAAGACCATCATGGTATCTCAATCACAGTCTCGGTTCAAAGATGGACATAAAACTCAACCTGAGCCTCAGAGGTGAGAGGACATATCTGCTATAGTTTCTTAGCCAGTCAAGTTCTCTCCTTCCTGGAAAGACCTTCCAAAAGAGATCTGTGAAGATGTGATGACATAGCCACCATGGCTATTTTGCTATTGCAGAGGAGTGCCCACCTGGAGCAGTTTGGGGACGACCACGTAGAGCCTGAAGTCGATGCCAACACCAGGTAAAGCAAAGAGCCAGAATGAAAGCAGATCCTTGATTTGACACCTGAATGGTTAGATCAAACCATGCCTATAGCTCTTGCTGCTGCCAGACTTTGCAGTTACATAAACCAAAATCTCTTCATTGTCTCAACCGAGTTGGCTTTTCTGCCCCTTCATATAAGTAGTTCCAAGTAGGAATTACTATGGGTATTTTTTTCCTTAAGAAAAGAGAGGCCAAAGTCAGCCATTTTTCTGTGATATCTTGAGTTACAGGTCTTCAAGAAATGTTTCAGGGGATCAATGAACCTCTGAGGCTACCCTCATTCCCTCCTAATTTTCCTCCATCAGCAGCCATGCTAGAGCGCTGCTCCCTGCTTCCTGCTTCTTCTTCCTCTCCCTCACTCACAAGCCCCACAGTGAAGAGATTCAAAGTTGGGGCCACACTTCATTTTTGTGAAATACCCCTTTAGACTTTAGACCATACCATGTTTGATGGGCTCTAAGCTCTTTTGTATTTGTCTTCATGGGAATTCATAGCATTTCTTTGATCTGTGGCTTGAAGTCTTTTACCAATTTTGGAAATTTCTTGGCCATAATTGTTTCAGATATTGCTTCAGCTCCATTCTCTTCCTCCTGTCCTTCTGTGACTTTGGTTAGATGTGTGCTAGGTATTGTCAGCATTTCCTACATATCTCTCATATACTTTTTTTGTATGTTCCATCCTCTTTTCTCATTCATGCTTCAATTGGATATTTTCTACCAAACTATATTCCAGTTCACTAATCCTCTCTCCAGCTCTGCCCAATCTTCCATTAAACCTATCTATTGAGTTTTTAAAATTTAGTTTTTGTATTTTTTAGTTCTATATATTCCATTTGATTCCTTTTATAGATTCAAATTATTTTCTGAAAAGTCTCCATCTTGTCATCCATTTTCTTGAACATATTAATTACAGTTATTTGAAAATCCATGTCCTGTTTTGCATCATTCATGGCCATTTCTAATTGAATGTTGGACATTTTGTATAAAAAATTCTAGATACTTTGTATGATGTTATCTTATTCTAAAGAGGGTTTTTCCCTCCCTCTTGCCTGATAGTTCAATTTGAATTCCAAATAATAGCCTTCCAAATAATAACCAAAGAAATGTTCTTTTGTATTTTATCTGGTCTTATAGTTGTTCTTGCCAGGAGGTTTGGTCTGCTGCAAACTAGTCCATTCTAGTCACTAGTCTAAGTCACAGATATTAAGTATTTATGTACATTAACAAACAAGTTCACAGTATTTTCGTGATTCCAAATGAGATAAAATTTATAATATAAGGCAGTATATATGAAAATGAGTCATTTTAATCAAGTTATCATAGAATCTTTGAGTGAGAAGGGACCCAGGGATGGGAAAATTCACAGCTCTACACACCCATAATGAGTGGTTTTCTTTAGTTTCTCTCTAATGCACCTTCTTCCCTTTTATTACATTTACCTGTGGGGCTTGAGCACAGGCAAATGACATGGCTCACTCAGTGCCTAAGAGCATGCGACCACCACAGCTCCAGCAATAGGACACACTTGTGAGGAGACCAGAAGTAATCGCTTCCTGTTTTTGGAGTGTGTCAGTATCTGTCCAGCATCAGGAAAGAGCTACTACTACAAGGTTTTTCAACATTGTCAGCACTAACCATGTGTGAAACTCAGAAGTCAGATAAACAGCCACAGTACACTCCTTCAGTGGTGGCAGCCTTGACCACATGGTGCTCTGTCAGAGATCCAAGTACCAGCCACCTTCGTGGTTGAAGGACTAACCCTCAAACTGTGTAGTGTTCCCAGAACCAGTTGTGTGGCACCACCTCCAAAATCCTATCTCCAGCTGCTTGGCATGTTCTTGGAGATCCTAGAACTAGCTGTGTAGTAGCACTAGCTCCTCGATTCTGCTAATACTATGCCTTTCTCTATGTTCTCTTAGCCCTAAAGACAGTAGCTGCTTCCCACAGTTACTAATCTCTGGGTTACCTCACTGTCATGGGTTAAATTGTGACCCCCTCCCCCACAGGTACCAATAGTACCCATGAAAGTGACCTTATTTGGAAATAAGGTCTTTTTATATGTAATCAAGTTAAGATGACGTCACTCTGGATTAGGATGGCCTTAAGTCCAATGAAGGGTGGTGTCTTTATAACCAAAAGGAGAGGGAGATTTAGAAACAGAGACACAAAAGAGACACAGAGGAAAGAAGGCCATATGAACAGAGGAAGGGTTTGGAGTTACGGGGACACAAGCCAAAGAATACAGGGGCCACCCAAAGCTGGAAGAAGAAGGAAGGACTTTTTCCAGAGCCTTCAGAGGGAGCATGGCCCTGCTGACCTGACTGATTTCAGACTTCCAGTTGCTAGAACTGTTAGAGAATAAATTCCTATTATTTTAAGCCACCAAGTTTGTGGTAATTTGCTACAGCAGTCTTAAGGAAATGAATACCCTCACTATCAGTCTTCCAATCCTGGTATAACCAACCCCCAATTCCCTCTGTTTGAAATACCTGGTAAGGTTTCTGTTTTTATGCTGGAATACAAACTGATAAACCACCCCTCTCACGCCCCAAACTCTCAGTACCTTGTATTTTGATCCCAAGGGGAATCAGTGAACAGTTGATGAGTGTAGTAAATAGAGAAACGACAACAGCATTAATACCAATGCATATTTTTTCACCTGTCATATTTAAAACTTGCTAATTGCTAAATATTTTGCCCAATTCATCCTTATAATTTCACTTAATAATATGGCTTGGAAATCTTCCTGTATCGGTCCAGCCATGTTATTTTACAGCTGCATAGTTTTATCAGTTGAATATACTGTAATTTAATTAAATGGTCCCTGAAGGATCTTTTTACTGTTTTCATTTTTTAAAACATTTACCAAAAAAAAAAAGCTGGGCCGGCCCCGTGGCTTAGCGGTTAAGTGCGCACGCTCCACTGCTGGCGGCCCGGGTTCAGATCCCGGGCGCGCACTGATGCACCGCTTGTCCGGCCATGCTGAGGCCGCGTCCCACATACAGCAACTAGAAGGATTTGAAGCTATGACATACAACTATCTACTGGGGCTTTGGGGGAAAAAATAAATAAATAAAATTATTAAAAAAAAAAAAGTTGCTGCACTAAACCTGTGAGAACTGTTTTGTGAGATATCAGTAGGATAAGTACCTAGCTGTGGGATTCCTCGATCTAAGGGACCGTGTGACTGAAATTCTAATAAATAATACCAACTTCTTCCATAAGTGTGATGCATTCAAATAAAGGGCTATCACCAGAGAATTCTTCATGATATAATAATATTTGGAGAATTATGCCTTTTATGATCCAACTGGCCTAATAGAACAGCCATCAAGGCAATCATCACTCTTGTTTTTATTCACTGATGAGGCATTCACATTTCTGAGAGTAATGAGATGAAACCCAACAAGCAAACCACCAGAGCTAAGCAGCACAGTCAACAATAGCTCTGGGAAATGGGAGGTCTCTCAAGGAACAAAATAACTCAACACACCTGTAGGGAAATCAGACGCCAAGTCAGAGGAAGCTCTGCTCAACAACTCGACAAAATTCCGCCATCTGTGCAAGAAAAGGAGACATAAGATTGGTGATCAATACCGTTGCACTGAAAGAATGTGCAATAAAGCTTGAGGTTTATATTGATAGTGATATTGAAGGAGCTTTTTGATATCTGTATCATTCAGCATGCAATGCAGGAAACAGAAACTACTTTAAGTATCTCCATTAGAAAGGGCTTTACTATAGGAAGTTAGATGCCCTCAAAATTATTTCAAGGGCCGGTAGAATGGAGGTTGGTGTCTGCTGCTAGGCTCAGGGTCAGGCCTCAGCACATGTAGTCCAGAGACGAGGGAACTGCAGGAAATTCTGGCTGATGTCTCAGTTGCCCCGACCATAAGGTTGGTGACCAGGCGGTACAAAGTACGTTTTGGCCACTGGAAAAACTGATGCCGGCCAGGGTTGGGAGTTGCTACTACTGCAGGAAAATAAATAAATACAGAAAATATCCCTGTCCCCCCTCACCACCCCTTCTGCCTTTCAAATCTCATGCAACTGCATCTCACTGATGGAACTGAAATCAATTCCAGAACCTTCGTGTCAAGGGAGTTTTGGAAATGTTCTTTTTAGCCCTCCAAAGTATGGAAAGTGCTGCAGCGCAGGAAAGAATGTAGCAGGGGAGAGAAACGGGTGTTGAGTGCAAATAGACGACATTTAGTGAAGTCCTCAAAAATTGCATTGAGCAATTGTGCATGTGACAATCAGGGAGTCATTTAATGCTTACAAGTACTTTAGGAATGCTTTGGTAGTGAAAGTCATTTATACTTGCTTGCCCAGCATCTAACCTCCATTTATACATAAATATGTTCTTTTCTGGGGTCACAAACTACAATCAATGTCCCATACCCTTCCCTAGACAATGCTGTGACCATTGTCTAATTAACTCGATGTATCACTTTCTCCATCCATCCTTCCCTCCCTTCCTCCCACTCTCTGTCTCTGTCTCTCATTAATTTTTGGTTCTGGTTCTTCCTGAAGTTTTATTTTCCCCAAATTTTATATGTTACTCTATATCCTTTCAAAATATTTCTTTTGCTTATGTTAAAAAAAGGCAGTTTCTGTTTCTAGCAACCAAACTGCCACGGGTGAGCATTTCTATCTCCTTCTTGCTCATCAAAAGTCAAGCAAGTTGTGAGATATATGTCCTGGGTTTTCCAGAGGAGTTCTAATGTCATGTGATCTTATTGTCTTCAAATAAAAATGATTCATTAGATTTGTAACTAGTTTATTCTGCTTATACCTCATAAAAGTTTTCCACTTTCTAGAGTAAATCATTTTCAAAAGTTTGTTGGTATTCAGAGTCTGCAAGATCATGATTCCCTCTCCATGTTCTGCAGTATTATTAAAAATTAAGCCTCATATGTTGGGGTTTTCTCTCTATTCAGCATCAAATGAGGAACTGTTCCCGCTGAGCACAACAGACGATGTGCACAGATTCCCTGGGCCCTGCTCACTGCTCAGTCAGCCCTGCAGTGGGGTGAGTGACAACGGACGCCGATGTCTGGTGCCCCTTGCTTGGGACCCCTCAGAGGTGGGGTCTTCTCACCACACCTGTTAGAGATCAGACACTTAACTGGCGCGTATGTTGTAATATGCTCCTCAGCATAGACACCTTCCAGGGACCTCCGTCTCTCTGTTCCCACCCACGCGACTCTGCTTTCAGGGATAAGGCTTCAGCAGGTGCGAACACCACAGCCAGGTTTCCCCTTCCCACCTTCCTCACCCCGGCCTTCTGCTCTGTCATTCCTGGGAGTTGTGCTCTCTGCACGGGTACAGGAAGGCAGTGTGTGGGCAAGTGTACGTGTGTGTATCCTGGGGTGGGGAGGGAGGGAAGGAGAAAGGGGAACAGTATTCAGGAGGCCACAGAAGGCAGCACCTGTATCATTTTCTGGTTAGTTAAGATGTGGGGCCTCCAAATCAAGGGGAAGGCTGTGGTGAAGGGACAAAATTTCCTGTCTTCTGCACTTCTTATAGGGAGCAGGGCAACGCTTTGGGCAGGCAACTCATTGATTTTCCCAGATTCCATGTATTTATAGTTTGTGGAGATTCCTTCTAGATTCTGACACTAGAGTGACTATTAGTTTTTGCTACTGATGTGTTTTTTGCCGCTTTATTTGTTCATAGGAATGTTAATCAGAGGTTGTTGAGCAGATGACATTTTATACAAAAAGTCTTACGTATAAAAACAAAACAAAAGCCTAAACACACCAAACACAAAATGTGGACAATTTTATACAAATGCCTTTGTAATCTTGATGAAGTTACTTACAGGGGACATGTTTCTCTGAGCTTCACACAGGCTCGAATCAGGGGTGTGCTGGTATTTATTTCCCAAGCCCATCACCTTTCTCCACCTCCTGAAACGCTTGCTCCAGCTGTAAAGAATAGATTGTAGTTCTCCAAACTCATTATGCTTTTGCTTGCTCTTCTGCCTTGGCATATACTGCCCCTTCTGTATCTGCAACAGCTCTCCCATCTCTCATCTGGTTAGTTCCTACAAGTCTCCCAGGCTCAGCTGAGATGCAGCATAGAACAGTGCTGAAGAGCAGGCTCTGTTCAGACTGCTAAAATCCTGTTACGTCCCAAGATTGGAAGAGTTTAATCACTATAGCCATTGCCTTGAGAATCCTGTAGCCTTCTACACCAGCTGAGAGGGTATAAACATGTTAGAGGGAGGAGGCAGGTAGGAAGGAGACTACAGAGGAGATCACCAGCCTTTAGGGACTGACGTAGTTTGCTTGGGCGGCCATAACAATATACCATAGACTGGGGGCTTAAACATCAGAAATTTATTTTCTCATAGTTCTGGAGGCTGGAAGTCCAAAATCAAGGTGTCACCAGGTTTGGCTTCTTCTGAGGCTTCTGTCCTTGACTGTAGATGACCACCTTCTCACTGTCCTCACCTGGTCTTCCCTCTGTGTGAGCACATCCCTGGCGTTTCTCTGTGATTCCTGATTTCCTCTTCTTATAAGGGCACCAGTCAGATTGGATTAGGGTCCCACCCAAATGGCCTCATTTTAACTTAATCACCTCTTTAAAGTCCTCATCTCCAAATACAGTCACATTCTGAGGTGCTGGGGGTTAGGGCTTCAGCATATGGATCTTGGGGAGGATACAATTCAGCCCATAACAGGAACAAGGATTCAAAGAAGCCCACCTTTCGGGACAATTTACTTAAGGTCTCTGAACCTCAGTTTATTCAACTGTGAAGTGGACATAAAAAAGCTTAACTCCTGGGGCTATTGGGAGTATGAAATGGGACTAGCCATGTGGAGCATCTAACCTGTGCCTGGGACACATCAGGTGTGTGTGCATCAGAGCCTTACACCCCTGAGTCAGGGGGTTGTTTGGTGGTTGTTTAACTCAGCTGCTGGGATGCTCATTCAACTGCACCGTCTTCCTCTGCGTTCACCTTTGTGATCATGCAGCCCGAGTTTTATTCTTCTCAGCTTCCAGTTAACTGTGAGAAGCACAGCATAAACTCTCAAATCAAGACAAAAGCATTCTTTCTTCATTTGATAGACGGAAAATTAAGGTTAGGAGAAATTAGTCACTTGCCCAAGTTCCCAAAGCCAGTGCATTTCAGAGCCAGGATTTCCATCCAGCCCCATGTGATTCCAGGCTCATTCTGCCTCTCCGTGTGGATGGGGGCTGAAGGGTAGTGGAGGGCTAAACCTACAAGGAGGTTACCTGCAGGCCCCGGGCTTCTTTGGATCAAACCTGCCCCTGAACTTAAGAGCCTCCCCACTTTTGTATCTGTATCCCACACCTCTCCTGAGTTCCTCAAATCCAGGACTGTGTTCAGCACCAAGCCAAGGGTGGAGCCGGCCGTGGAACTCAGGCAGTTTGCCTAAAGCTCCTGTGCCTAGCCACTAAGCTACAAGGTCCTGACTTTCATAGGACTGGTAGGAACGTTGGTATAGTGTATCAAGAGCCGAGACCCTGAAGCAGGAGAGCCTGCATTTGACTTAGCCTTATTGATGAATTCATTTATCAGTTACATATTGGTTTTAGCCTCTCTCTGGTGCCTCAGTTTCCTCATTTGAAAAATAATAGTACCTACCTCATGCATTGCAAGGATTAAAAGAGTTAATATTTATAAAGCACTCAGAACATTGCCTGGAATATAGTAAGCACTATATAAATGTTAGCTATTAATAATAAGAATAACTTTATTAGCAATATTATTATTCTCACTCCATATGAATTCTCACCCCATATGAATTATGGGCTTCTGGAGGAGAAGACTGGAATTAATAAACTCTTAAGAGCCAGGTCTGGTTTCCAAGACCTAACCAATGGGCAGATCCATACCATGTCTCTAATAGCTCGCTGCCTAACAATTTTCCTATTCCCATTAAAAAGTAATTGCTGAATCAGACACCTCATGTTTCCTTTATCTCCTAAAATCCTCTGGTTGTTCCTGGGATTATCAAACCAGTCCTTTTCAACCTAATTGCATTCTCAGTAATGGGCCAGATGTGTCTGAGAAGTCCTACTTGTGGCTGTGTCAATCACTCCACTCTGTTTACGAAGCCTCCCTAGCAGTTTCTTTATTTATCCCCTACCCCACACAACTTGGCTTGTGCCCGTGTTTTAAACTGGGTTTGAAGCATTTAATTTTGCCAATACAATTTTAGATTATTAGTTTGCCTCCTGTTCTCTCTCTGCCCTTCTTAATTACCATTTATTGCAAAGTCACACAGAAACATTAAATGCTAATTCTGACTCACTTATTCCTGGCCAAGAACAGGGATAATAATTTCCATCCAACACAACCTGAACTCATTTTACACGAGAGTGATTCAGAGTAGAGATTTGAAGTTGTAATCACGTCTTTGTCAAAATCACCTTACCCTGGCAGTCATTCACCAATGTCTCTGCTAATTGGTAGGCAAATGGCAAAAAAAAATCTCAATGTTAAAAAAAAGCACAAAAAACCACAACTTTGCAACAGCATTCAAGAAATTGTTTCTCTCATCAGCTCTTGCAACGTGACAGTT